AAGAGATAGAGAGTTGGATAGATAGATAGGAGGGGGAGACAGAGAGGGGTGAGGGGGGAACGCATTCCGAATGTTTTCATCAAACCCCTGCATCGTCTACCAAACCCAGCGTTACTTGTCGCCGCTACCTCGCGTGCATAAGAGTGCGGGGAAAACAAACAACACAATTATGATAACAATCTGCAATCCCTCCTTGACTCTTCACATCCGCCTCCGTCTTCACCCCTTCCTTTCTTCCTTCCCCTCCCCCCTTCCCTCCCTGCCATACCCTCCTCTTCAATCTCCCTTCTCCCTCCCTTCCCTGCCCTCCCCTTTTCTTCCGTCTCCCTCCCCACCCCCTTCCCTCATCTTCCCTCCCTGCCCGCTCTCCCTTCCCTTCTGTCTTCCTCTCCTCTCCCATCTCCCTCCCTGCTCTCTTCTCCCCCTCCCCCCACCGACCCCTTCCCGATTTCAAGCTCTTGCTCCATTCTCTGCCTGACGCAAGTGTGACGTCATACAAAAGAAGATCAGAGCCAGGAAAATTCGTCAGTGTTTCGTTTTCTAACACTCTTTCTTCTCAAAGCTTTAGGGGAGACTTGGGTAGGTAGGCCTTTATTTTCTGCCATTGATTTTTATTGTGTTTTCGCGTTATTTTGTTTTCCGTGCGCGATGTGCATGTATTTCTTTATCAGTTTCATGACAGGGGGATGGCCAAGGTGGTTAGGGTAATAATGAGAATAAAGAAGATGATACTGATGGTGACGATGATTATGATAATTATAATGAGGTGTAGGATGATAAGACAGAGAAAATGATGATGATAACGATGATAATGATGGTGATGATGATGATGACGTTAATGATGATGATGACGATGATGGTGATGATGAAGATGATAATAATGATAAGGATGATAATGCTGTTAATTATATTGACAATAATCATTATTTATACGACATTCTAATCGTCCGATAAAAGAAATAATAATAACGTGAATCATACCACGAGCAAAAGAATCCGAACCCACAGAAAGAACATGATAAGAATAGCAGCGACATAAATCTAACTCCCACACACCCACACCCACCCACCCACACACACACACACACACACACACATGCCCACAGAACGGTCATCACAACACCCACGCATCGAAAGTCATTAATCTCAACTCTCATCCAGCCCATAAACAAAAAAGAAAAAAGAAGAGAGAAATAGAATAAAAAGAAAATGATGTGGAGGCGTTTCGTGAAGGAAAAATGAAAATAAATTACACACTTGGCAACTGTTTCTGTTCTTCCTCGAGGCACTGTGATTAAGAAAGAAAGCGAGGAAGTTTGCATAAGGGAAAGAGGGAAGGGGATAAGGGAGGGAGGGAGGGGAATGGGGAAAGTGAGGAATGGGAATGGGAAGATAGATAGGAGAGTTAGATAGTCAGATAGACAAATAAACAGATAAATAGATAGAAAGATAGATAAGAAGATCGATAGACAGATAAATAGACAGAGAGAGAGAGAGAGAGAGAAACCTCAGAATATCCATGGATAGGTTAAGAGGTTCCTTGAGAATCAGACAAAAATTAACATTACCTTTTAAATACAAAGAAACGATTTCTTAGATTGCCTACTTTAAAATCTAATGGCACTCAAATCCCAGTAAATAAAGTACATAATACAAGGGAGTCCATAGCTTCCATCAGATTATCCAATAGGACCGTGACTCTAGAACCGCTGATAAAGACGGTCATTACGATCGTCACCATACATTCTCCCTCTAACCAAGGCCGATACCATTAACTACCATAACCCTCACCGCCATTCATCTGCTCATCACCAACCGCACGCACCACCACCACCATAACTGCTATCACCCCCCCCCCCTCTCCCACACCACCCATTTTGAACCTCCCCTCTCCCCCCCACCTCCCACACCACCCATTTTGAACCTCCCCTCTCCCCCCCCCCCTCCCACACCGCCCATTTTGAACCTCCCCTCTCCCCCCCCCCCTCCCAAACCACCCATTTTGAACCTCCCCTCTCCCCCCCCCCTCCCACACCACCCATTTTGAACCTCCCCCCCCGGTCGTCAGCTGTGCCAGGGGAAGATCTCTCCGCTACCTACTGGCCTTTGACCGATCAGCTGGAAGGACGTCGGGCGGCCGCCTTCGGGACCTCAAAAGCCAAGCGACTCGTCTGTCTGTCTCCTCCGCTCTCTTGCTTTTTTTTTATCTCTCTGCTGTCTTTCCTATCTACGCGCATGGCAATTAAAATGTGCGCACACACACACACACACACACACACACATATATATATATATATGTGTGTGTGTGTGTGTGTGTGTGTGTGTGTGTGTCTGTGTGTGTGTGTGTGTGTGTGTGTGTGTGTGCGTGTGTGTGTGTGTGTGTGTGTGTGTGTGTGTGTGTGTGTGTGTGTTTGTGTGTGTGTGTGTGTGTGTGTGTGTGTGTGTGTGTCTATGTGTGTGTGTGTGTGTCTGTGAGTGTGTTTGTGTGTGTGTGTGTGTG